AGCCGTTGCGCAGGCGCAATGAGGTGGGCGGGTGCGCGGAAAGCCGTTGCGCAGGCGCAGTGCGCGTTCGCCTCTCCCCTGCGCGCTGAGGCGGCGCCGCCGCCGCCATTTTGAGAGCGCGCCGCGCGGTGCCGCGTCCGCCGCCGCCGCCATGCGTCCCGGCATAAAGCTCTTCGTGGGCAACGTGCCCGAGGAGGCCACGGCGGAGGAGCTGAGCGAGCTGTTCGCCGGCGCCGCCGGGCCCGTGCTCGGCGTCGCGCTCATGAAGCAGTTCGCGTTCGTGCACTTGCGGGACGAGGCGGCGGCCGCGCGCGCCATCACGCAGCTCAACGGGCACCAGCTGCACGGGCGCCGCATCGTGGTGGAGCCGTCGCGGCCGCGGCCCACTAACACCTGCAAGATCTTCGTGGGCAACGTGTCGGCCGCGTGCACGAGCGGCGAGCTGCGCTCGCTCTTCCAGCAGTACGGCACCGTGGTCGAGTGCGACGTGGTCAAAGGTAGCCGGGCCTCCCCCGCCGGCCTCTCCCCGGGCCCCTGTCCGGCCGCCGCGGGGYTCCCGCCCCCCCGGGGCCTCCAGCGGCCGCTCTCGGAGCGGGCCGCGTTGGGGGGAAGCGGCCCCGCCGGGCGCCCYGCGCCCTTGTCCAGCCCCCGGGCGCCTCCCGCCGCGGCCCCGGCCGCTCGCTTGCGATCACCCGTCCTCGGAGCCGCTCCGCCTGCCCGGCCGCGCTGCGGATGACCCGTTTTCCGTCCCGGCTCGCGGGGCTCCCGCGCCCTGCCGTCCGGAGCTGCTCCTGGCCCCGCTCGCCGGCCCCGCGGCCCCTCTCCAGCCGCCCTGCGTTTTCTGCTTGCCGGGGGTCTCGCCGGCCCCGCTCGGCTCTCTGCACCCCTGCCGGGGCCGGCCCCTCTCCAGGGGTGCACCTGCCCCGCTCGTGTCCCCTCCAGGCCGCTTTGCACCAAGCCGGCCCGAGCAGCACTTTCGGAGCGCTCGCGGAAAGTTCCCGGGTGTCTCCGTGGGCCCCAAGCGCCGCGCGGGCGGATGACGCTGTCACCTCTGCTCTCTCGTCCCAGGTTCCGCTCTCAAGGGCTCCTTCCCGATCCGTCCTGCCCCGCCAGGAGCAGATGTTCCTCACGGAGTCCATTAAGCAGCCCCCTAAGCACTGACACTGCTGCAGCCGGGGCTGCCGTTGTGGGATCCCCACCGGCTCCGTGGGAGCGGTGGGTGGGAGGGCCGGGATGTGGACACGGATGCGGCTGGCGGTGCCGGAGCTGCGTCTCGGTGGGCACGGGGCAAAGCGCCCGCGATGGCCAGAAAGGCTCCGATCGCCCGTGTGGTTCTGCCTGCGTCGCCGTGCCCTGGCGCTCGGTCCCGGCTCGCGGGCGCTAACGGGGAAGGTCGGGGAGGCCGCGGGGGCTGTGGCCATGTCTCCCCTGTGCCGGCCGCTGACCCTGCGGACCCGTCGTGCTGCGACCCCGGGGCCCCTGTCCGCTGCCAGGGCCTGTGGGACCTGCTGTGCCGGTGCTTGTCCTGTTTCCCCTCTTGTCCGTGCATGGATCCGCGCCCACGGAGCAGCCCGGAGCTCGTCCTCCGTGAGGCCGTGTTTGCTGGCGGCTTTGGGTAAAACTCCTCCTGCCCCTGGCGCCGCTGTTAATTGAGCGGCGCCGTTAACGAGAGAAGAGCCCCGTGTCATCCCCCCGCGGCCGCGATCGGGGCTGCAGCCCCACGCGCCGCACGTGGCTGCCCCATCGATCCGTGGGGCTGGAGCCGCCCTCTSCTCCCGCCACTGTCGCTCTCCGGCGCTTTCTCTGCTTCACATCGCTGCCCGCTCCGCTCGGCGCGCGCGGCGCCTCCGCACCTTCCTCGCGCTCCCGTTACCTCTCCCGGGAGCTCGGCCGCTTCTCCTACTCGCAGTTCGTGGCTCTGGCTCTCAATTTGGGCCCCCAAACGTGACCTCCTGTCACCGGGGCACCGTGGGTGTTTCAATGCAAGCAGGAGGTGTTGGTGTTGCCGTTTGCTGCGTCCCATGGGCGCCGTGGGGAAGGGAGAGCCAGAGGCGTGGATCTCATGGAGAATCATGCTTCCCTCTCGGAATCCTGGCGATTCCTGCTCTTCTTTCCGATAGCAGCCCAGCACAGGGTGCAGTCGCCCTCAGGTGTTGGCCGGTTCGTGACCGGGCTGAGATGCTGCGGTTGGGTCGAGCCCCGGTGCCACAAGCGCGGAGGGCCAGTCCCGTCGCGGGAAGCTCCGCCGGGAAGCATTGCGTCCGGGTGTCCGGCATCGCCTCGATTCCAGGCGTCGAGCTGCGGGAACAGGGGGATCGGGGCTCCCTGGGCGCAGGGCAGGACGGAGAAGGAGCCCGGTGCGATCCCGGTGCTGCCGTCGCGTTCTCCGAGTGTCAGCTCCTGTAACGCACTGTTGTTTTCTCCCCCCTGATAACCCTCTGTCTGCTGCTTTATCAGACTATGCATTTGTGCACATGGAGAACGAAGCAGATGCAAAAGTTGCCATCGAAAATCTTAACGGGAAGGAGGTGAAAGGAAGACGAGTCAATGTGGAACTCTCTACTAACGTGCAGAAAAAGGGAGCAGCCCAGACTATCCAGGCAGGCGTCGTTGTTGACAAGAACAAGCGGATAGGGCTGGAGTATAGGGAAAAGTTCCAGCCCAAGATAGACGGTTTTGAGCAGCGGCGCGCGGCGGACTCCAGCTTCGCGGCCGCCGGCTACGCGGCCTCGTCCTCCCTGTACGATTACCAGCAGCGCTTCGGCGGCAACGGCACCACCAAGTACGACGCGCTGGAGGCGGCGGCGCGGCCCGCCTCGCCCGCCTGCTTCGGCAGGGACCGCAGCCCGCTGCGGCGCTCGCCCTCGCGCACCGCCTACGCCGCGCTGCCCATGAC